GGTGGAACTAGAACTCACTATCTCCTGGTGGACACCCAGCTGGCTTTGATGACTAAGGTGGAACTAGAACTCACTATCTCCTGGTGGACACCCAGCTGGCTTTGATGCCTAAGGTGGAACTAGAACTCAGCATCTCCCCTGTGATTGGCTCAACGTCGCCCAGCTGGTTTTCATGCCTAAGGCAGGACTAGAACTCACCACCTCCTGGTGATTGGCCCAAAGTCCCCCAGATAGTTTTCATACCTAAGGTGGAACTAGAACTCATGGTCTCCCGGTTTCCTGACTGATGCCTTCACCACTAAAACCAAACTAGCTCTTGCACACATCGTACAGCCTGAGCTGACCCCAGGATCAGCACTTTGGGGTCTGCCCCAAAGTGTTCCCCCCCTCCCAATTTCCCTCAAGCATAGACCCGGTTGGTTAGGCTTACCCGACTCTGTGGGTTTCCTAGAACGGAGTCAGTTATCCGACATTTGGGGGGAAGGGAAAAAAAAAAGACGGTTAAAAACATGGAATTAGGCCTTTGCGACGATAAGCTCAGAGCGCTGAATATAACAAGGAAAGATTAGGTGCGTGCCCGCACAGGTGTGTGTGGCACACGCAGAGTGAAAAGCTGCCCAGAGCAGGCTGAAGTGCAACGGCGTAGAACGGCTAGATAATAATAAATAAAACTTAACACAATGAAAACAGCCTTGTTTATGAAAGGGGCTTTGTTCCCACGGCTTCCTGAGTTAACCCATTTCCTGGCTTCACACAACAGCGATAGCACTTAAAATCTATACGCCGCTTTACTCTGCTTTTACAGCCCTCTTTCTCTCTCCCTAAGCGGTTTACAGAGTCAGCCTCTTGCCCCCCAAAATCTGGGTCCTGCAATAGATTATAACATGCCACTGTTGAGTGTTAGGGCCCACTTATTATTATTATTATTATTATTTTTTAAAAAAGAGCATTTTCCATCTGGCATCCGCAGCAATTTCTTCTTCTCCCAGTTCTGCGTGGCCTTCTTGTAAAACCCGTAGTCCCTTGTCTGGTCACCTAGGATCCCCCCGTCGCCCGAGGCGATCAATCACCAGACCGTCCCTTCAACCGAAATGATGGGTCGCCACGGTGAGGGAGGGGGGGGGCATGGGGGGGGCGGGAAGAAAGCGCCTGGGCCATCAAACATCGCTCGTTGGGCTGGCTCCCAGCGTTGGCAAGGGAAGGTTGGAAGAGAAAGGGAGAGAAAAAGGCGTTTCGTGGCCTCCAGATTCAAAAGGGAGGCCTGCCAAGGAAGAGCGGGCGGTGGGTTGGAAGAAGTCCCAGAATGCATCTGGGCCAAGAAAGCTTTGGCAAAGGGGGGCTTTGGCAAGCAGGCTGCCTCGGATCGGGCCTGCTGCAGGCCAGGCGATTCGCAACCATGTGTGTGTGTGTGTGTGTGTTTGTGTAATATGGTCTCTTCCTTCCCCCTCCCTTGCCACAAGGCCTGGATCTGACTTCTCACACAGGCAGGTTGTGAGAGACACCCCTCCCCAGATCTCTCTCTCTCTCTCTCTCTCACACACACACACTCTCTCTGTGCCGTCTTTTGCTCACCACCAGTCTAGACAAGCACAAATCGGCAGGCAAAAACTACACAACGAACAGCAGCACTGCAGGCAGAGACTTTTGGCCAGAAAAAGTTAGAGAGCTATCTTGGAAAAGGGGTGCATATTCTCTGAAGTTAGCACAAAGAGGGAGGGAGGTAGAGGAAGGAAGGAAGGAAGGAAGGAAGGAAGGAAGGAAGGAAGGAAGGAAGGAAGGAAGGAAGGGCAGAGGGAATGAATGGAGGAATGGAAGGATGGAGGGAAGGGATGGAGGGAAGGAGCGAGGGTGGGAGGAGGAAGGAAAGAAGAGATGGGAGAGACAGGAAAGGAGGTAGAAGAGGAAGGAAGAAAGGAATGGACAAAAGAGAGAACAGAAGAGAAGAAGAGAAGAAAGGAAGGGAAGAGAAGAGAAGAGGAAGGAGAGGTAGCAGGTAGAAGAGGAAGGAAGGAAGGAAAGAAGGAAGGGATGGAAGGGAGGAATGGAAGGGAGGAAGAAGAGATGGGAGAGACAGGAAAGGAGAAGAGAT